CCACTTGGACTTGAGTTTTGTGCATGGTGATAGATATGGATCTATTTTCATTCTTCTACAGATTGGCATCCAGTTTTGCCAGCACAATTTGTTGAAGATGCTCTCTTTTTTCCATTGTATACTTTTAGCTCCTTTATCGAAGATCAGGTGCTCATAGGTTTGTGAGTTAAAGTCAGGGTCTTCTATTTAATTCCATTGGTCGACTTCTCTGTTTTTATGCCAATACCAAGCTGTTTTCAATACTGTAGCTCTGTAATAGAGCTTGAAGTCAGGGATGATAATGCCTCCAGACGTTCCTTTATTGTATAAGATTGTTTTGGCTATCCTGGGTTTTTGTTTTTTTCATATAAAGTTGATTATTGTCTTCTCCAGATCTGTGAAGAATTTTGATGGGGAATGCATTGAATCTATAGATTGCTTTTGGTAGAATATGCTTCATATTATTAATAAATATACTGTATATTAATAATGTATAAAATATTTTACATTGTTGATAAAAGTTGAATATAGTCATATAAATTTCAGTGAATTATTCAATTAATTTAATAACTAGAACATATGTATTTTCATGGCCTTATATTTACTAAATAATAAATATACATTAAAAGCTATTGACTTCTGTACATTATTTTCTCTTATTGATATAGGTGTTTATTTCACTTGCTTTTCAATTTGGTCCTCTACTGATTTTATTGTCCTATTTGTCCAAATTCCCAGATTCACACTCACAAGATCATACAGTGGAGAATCTCATCAGGATGGCTGTGGCTGACTTGGTTCTGGTGGTTCTTGGGATTCTACTTTTTGAGGCACAAAACAGTCAGAGAAGTCACCAAGATTCAGGATGGAGGTGAACCAGAGAGAATCGTGCATCTATCTCTTAATGTGGTAGAGGCTTGAAGATGAATCTAACAAGTAGAAGAAATCATGGAAGTAAATTTGTGGTATAAGTGTTTGAACACAGTTGCATACCCTGAAGAGAACACCATATTTGGGTGCAGGGAAAATGCCAAAGAGATCTGTGAAGAGGACTATACACCCACTAAGTTAGAACAGTCTGGTGGCTTGAATAAGATGGCCTTCAAAGTCTCAGACATTTGAATGCTTGGTCCTCATCTGGTGATATTGTGTGGAGAGACTTAGGACATGTGGTCTTGTCAGAAGAATTGTGTAACTGGGCTAGGCTTTGAAGCCTTAAGGCTCATCATTTCTAGCTCACTCTTGTGTTCATTTTCTACAAGATTGAAATATTCCACTCTGTAGGGAATCTTCTTAAGCCAGAAGGCAAACAACTCAAAATAACCCCAGAAAGGATCTGAAACTAACAAGATTTACTAGGTCCTTTTTTTTTTTTCTAAGAGTTAAGAAGAAGAGCTGTTGTGAGTTACTCTTAGACGAGATAAGCTGCAAGGAAGAATCTGAGACCAGATCTACTCCCTGGAAGAATAAAGAAACAACCAAGCTGCCTAGAAGAGATTTAGACTGAAATAAGCTGGAAAACACACTCTCCAATATGTTTAGCTTGCCTGAAAGCTCTGAAATGTGCCCTTTGTGAGTTTTCACCCATGATGGAGTCATTTCTGCTCCTGTAAATTACCTCAATAAAACTCATTGGTTCACCAAATTGGACTTTAGTGGTATCCATACTTTTGTCTTTCATTGACTCCCTATTGAGGGCGAGTACACATATATGCTGTATCTCCCAGGACAAGTCTTGCCACAAGACAACTCTTTCCTCTTGTTCTTGTAATTGAAGATGTAAGCTGTAAGCTTTCTTTTCCTGCTACCATGCCTTCACTCTACCATCATGGACTAATCCTCTGGAACTTTAAATGCAAATAAAATACTTATTCTATAATGTACCTTAGTTATGGTGTTTTGTCACAGCAATAGAAAAGTAAATTATATAGAAGTCAGTACCAGGAGTGGGATATTGTTGTGACAAGCCTGATCATGCTGTCTTTTTAGAGGAATGTAGAAGATTTCATGATTTTGGAACAGAAAAGAGGTTGAAAGCTGTAAGCAGGGCTTAATTGGCTATCCTAGTGGGAACCCTGGAAGACAGTGTTAAAAAGCAAGCAAGACTATAGAGAGAGACCTTGATGGAGATGTTTCAGAGAGAAGCAAGGACTTTAACAGCAACCCAGTTAGAGGCCATCCTGTGATATTTTGGCAAATGATATGTCTGTCTTCTGCTCTTGCCCTAAGAACTTCTCTGAAACTAAATTAAAAGTTAATGGACAGCATCCCTGTAAACATACCATTTAAACAGTCCAGGGAAACAGGCAAGTCAACTGAAGATCTTCACCACTCTCTACTCTCCTCCAAATGCAATCCCTCAGCCTCATCCCAGGCTTTGCAATAGAGTACTGGTTTCAGCATTCTTCACTCTTTGCCTACATTTCTTATTAAACCCACATGTTTTCCCCCAACTTCCAGCCCCTAATTATAACAGGCACCCCTGTTAGCCCAGAAGCCATGCCTATGAGAAAATCGGGTAGGCTGCCTGCAGATCTTCTCTCCTCCTTTTGCTCTCCTAGATCCAATTCCTAGTCTCATTTTCAGTTCTTCTGCAGAACACTTGTGGCAGACTTTAATGTCTGCTGCTTCTATCTCTAGTGGATCCTACAGAACTTCCCATTCTAACCACCCTTCCTCCACTCATTGATTTGTTCCAGTCTCCAATGCCAGTAGGCACTCCCTATTAATCCAAGGACCGTTCCTTCCAAAACAACAAGTATGCTGAAGGCTGACTCATACCAATCTTCCAGCCCCTCCAGATCAAAATCTTCCAGGTCATCCCCACTTCTGTAGCAGAACCTCTGGAGTGAATGATCCCCAATGTCTTGTCATATTCTAAGGAGATAAACAGATCCTAGTTGAACACTCTGCTCAGATTCATCATGTGACCACTTTCAAATACCTAGCCTATCCCCATTCCTAAGCATCAACTCCCAGTTGCAGGAGGGAGGTGCTTATTTGTCCTGACCACCCAGAACCTAAAAAACTACATGGAAACTATATTCATTAAATCACTGCTTGGCCCTTTAACTCTAACTTTTCATTGGCTAACTCTTGCATCTTAATTTAACCCATCCTCCATTAATCTCTGTATCACCATAAAAAGTGTTTGGCAATGACTCTTCTGTTTCTATTGTGTGGAACACATTGAGGAGTATAGATATTAGCTCTTCTTGGAAGGTCTGGTAGAATTCTGCACTAAAACCACCTGGCCCTGGGCTTTTTTTTTTTTTTTTTTTTTTTGGTTGGGAAGTTTTTGATGACAGCTTCTATTTCATTGTGACTTATAGGTCTATTTAAATTGTTCACCTGGTCTTGATTTAATTTTGGTATATAGTACTTATCAAAAAAATGTCCATTTCTTTTACATTTTACAATTTTGTGGCATACAGGATTTTGTAGTAAGACCTAATGATTCTCTGAATTTCTTCAGTGTCTATTGTTATGTTCCCCATTTTACTTCAGATCTTGTTAATTTTAGTGTTCTCTCTCTACCTTTTGATTAGTTTGGATAGGGGTTTGTCAATCTTGTGGATTTTTTCAAAGAAGCAGCTCTTTGTTTCATTGATTCTTTGGATTGTTTTCTGTGCTTGTATTTTGTTGATTTCAGCCCACAGTTTGATTATTTCTAGTCTTCTACTCTTTCTGGGTGAGTCTGCTTCTTTTTTTTTTTTTCTAGATCTTTTGGGTGGTGCACACTACTCTTGCACAGGAAGTTAGTTTTTATTTATCGGCACGTACATCAGGTTTCTTGCAACTGCCTGTAACTCTGTCTCCAGAGAATGTGACTCCCTGGCCTTAGCAGATATGTACACAAATACATAATTTAAAATATATATAATCGTTTCATAAAAAGAAAACCAAATACTTAGGCAGTCTCTGCCATCTGTTAATCAGAGTTTGAATATAAATCACAAGGAATATCAGAATTTTTACACAGATGTGCTAGAGTCACTTGCAAGAATGTTCATAACAGCACTCTGCAAATTTTTTAGTTCATTTTTTGTTAATTTTATTGAGCTATACATTTTTCTCTGTTGCCCTTCCTGCCTCTCCCCTCCCCTTCAACCCTCTTCCAAGGTTCCCATGCTCCCAATTTACTCAAGAGATCTTGTCTTTTACTACTTCCCATGTAGATTAGATCCATGTATGTTTCTCTTAGAGTCCTCATTGTTGTCTAGGTTCTCTGGGATTGTGATTTGTAGGTTGGTGTTCTTTACTTTATGTTTAGAAACCACTTATGAGAGAGTACATATGATAATTGTCTTTCTGGGTCTGGGTTACCTCATTCAAAATGATATTTTCTAGCTTCATCCATTTGCCTGAGAATTTCAATATGCCATTATTTTTTTCTTCTGTGTTGTACTTCATTGTATAAATGTACCACATTTTCCTTATCCATTCCTTGATTGTTTCTAGCTTCAGGCTATGAAAAATAATGCTGCTATGAACATAGTTGAGCACATGTCTTTGTGGTACGATTGAACATCCTTTGGATATATACCCCAAAGTGGTATTGCTGGGTCTTGTGGAAGGCTGTTTCTTATTTTTTCCTCAAAATTTCGATACTGATATGCAAAGGGGCTATACTAATTTGCACTAGAAATGCAGGAATATTCCCTTTACCCCACAACCTCTCCAGCATAAGTTGTCATTTGTGTTTTTGATCTTGGCCATTCTTACAGGTATAACATGGAATCTCAGAGTTGTTTTGATTTGAATTTCTCTGATGACTAAGGATGTTAAGCAGATCCTTAAGTATCTTTAAGCCATTTTGGAATTCTCTGTTGAGAGTTCTGCTCTGGAGGCATCTCAGTCCCTGACTTCAAACTCTACTACAGAGCTACAGTACTGAAAACAGCATGATATTGGCATAAAATCAGACAGGAGGACCAATGGAACAGAAATGAAAACCCAGATATCAATCCACACACCTACAAGCACTTAATTTTTGACATAGAAGCAAAAAATATCAAATGGAAAAAAGAAAGCATATTTAACAAATGATGCTGGCATAACTGGATATCAACATGTAGCAGAATGAAAATAGACCCATGTCTATCACCATTTAGAAAATTCACATCCAAATTGACCAAAAACCTAAACATAGAGCCAGTCACACTTAGTCTCTTAGAAGAGAAAATAGGAAGTACACTTGAACACATTGTCACAGGAGACCATTTCTTAAAGTAGCACAGACACCGAAAGAAACAATGAAGAAATGTGATCTCCTGAAACTGAAAAGCTTTTGTAAGGCAAAGGACATGGTGAACAAGACAAAATGGCAGCCTACAGAGTGGAAAAACATCTTCACCAACCCCACATCAGACAGAGGTCTGATCTCCAAAATATATAAAGAATTCAAGAAATTGTTCATCAAAAGAACAAATAATACAATAAAAAATGGAGTATATTGTTCAAGGAGAACCCAAAGAAAAACATATAGGCATCCTCCTGAATATTAACCTTCATCAGGCAATGAAAGGAGACAGAGACAGAGACCCACATTGGAGCACCGGACTGAAATCTCAAGGTCCAAATCAGGAGCACCAGGAGAGAGAGCACGAGCAAGGAACTCAGGACCGTGAGGGGGGGGGCACCCACACACTGAGACAATGGGGATGTCCTATCGGGAACTCACCAAGGCCAGCTGGCCTGGGTCTGAAAAAGCCTGGGTTAAAACCGGTCTCGCTGAACATAGCGGACAATGAGGACTACTGAGACCCCAAGAACAATGGCAATGGGTTTTTGATCATACTGCACCTATTGGTTTTGTGGGAGCCTAGGCAGTTTGGATGGCTCTTTGGGCTGACGAGGGAGGGGGACTTGATGGGGGGAGGGGGAGGGAAAGGGGAGGCGGTGATAGGGAAGAGACAGAAATTTTTAATTAATTAATAAAGAAATAAATAAATTTAAAAAAATGGAGTACATACCTAAACAGAGAACACTCTTTGCAATTTTAGAGGGAAAAGACAAAGAATGTATCCATGAAAAATCACTAAAAGTAGATGTCTCAGTCAGTGTTCTGTTGTAGAGACACCATTTCTAAGGCAAGTCTTATAAAGGAAAACATTAAGTTGGAACTTGCTTATAATTTTAGAGATTTTAGTCCATTCTTATTATGGTAGGGATGGTGACATGCAGGCAGGCATGGTGTGCTAGAGAGGTAACAGAGTTTACATCCAGATTAGCATGCATCAGGAAAAGACATTAGACCTGGCTCAGGTCCATAAAACCTCAAAGACCTAACCTCCAGTGAAACACCTATTCTAGTAAGGCCACATTTCCTAATCTCTGTCAATTTAAACTGTTTTGCAATGATAAAGCATTCATATCTATGAAGATATGGGGGTTGTTCTTATTCTAACCATCACAGTAGCTATCAGTGTTTTACCTTCACAAAGCACAAAATTGTGAAATAACATTATTAATATTTGGTTACAGTTGGCTATTCCATGGTGCATGCCCATCACTTA